CCGCCACGCGCCGACAGCTGCCCAGCAGGAGGCCCCGGTAGCAAGTCATGGTCGGCCGGGCCGGCCGCAAGCTCCGCTCCCGCCCGAGTGCGCGCTGCCCGCGCCCGCCGGGCCTTTCACTTTGCGCCGGGCGGGTAGAGGTTAAGTGCTGGGTCGTGCGTGGCCCGCGCCGCGTGGGGGACGTGCCCAGACGTTAGGCGGGCGGGGAAAGCGGGGCGATTGGGAGGCGGGGAGCCCGCGGGAGGGACAAGTGGGCGGGAAAAACCCGGAGGCCTCGGGATGGTGGGTTTTATTTGTTTATATTTTTTGGTTCCCATCGACGCCTGCGCAGTGGCCTCTTCGCCCGGGCCCGACCTCCCTCCTCCGGCTGTTGCCTAGGCGCTCTTTGCCCGCCCCCAGGCTAACTCTGTCAGCCAATCACAGCCCGCTGCGGTTTCAGAGCCCAAGGGGCTACGGAGATTGGCTATACCCGGGGAAAGGGCTAGGATCCTATTTGGCGTGAAAGCTGCCTCAAGAAATCTAGCTGGAACTGGCCTGAGGCGGCGCGGCAGCTGCAGGGAGAGTTTCGAGCGTCTGGCGGGAATGATGGAGCTGAGCGGCCGCTGCGGTTCCTTATTGTGTGAAGTACTGTAGACCACGTGCCCTTGGCTCTTGCGTTTTAACCCCGGCCTGTTAGATAACTGCTGTGTGCACTGGTGGGCGAGGGCCTGAGGAGACGGAAGCGGGAGCAGCTGCCTCGTCTGCAGGGCCTGGCACAGGACGGAGAAGCCGAGCCGCGGGTTAGGGCCGCGGGGCGCACTGCAGGTCCTCAACCCTCCCCGGAGGCCTGGGAGCGCGCGCACCGCGAGGGCGGAAGAGTCTCGGCGGGCGGGGCAGTCGGGTTAAAAACCCGGATAAAAGGCGGCCGAGGGTTAAGAAGGAGCGTGCTTTGAAGTTTACGCTCTAGGCAGCAGTCCTCCGCGCACCTAGCGGGCAGGCCGCGGGTTGTTTGATGTCTGTTGACTTGGCTTTGGAATGCGGGCGGGGCTGGGAGGAGGAAGGGAAGCTGTCCGGAGCTGTTGAGGTGATAAGGACCTGGCCGGGGAAGAGCGGGGAAGAGGCCGGGAAGAGCGGCCAAGGGGAAGGATCAAATGGCACAGCGCGTCTGAGGTCCGCTGCGCAGATCTGCTCTTGCCTTGGCACCCTCTGGCTTCCTTTGTGGTCCTGTCACTACCAGTGAGGTGCATTTGGACTTTGGGCAGATTTCTTCATCTTTCTGGGCCTCAGGTTTCGCCCCTGTAAAATGAGGTTGAACTAAAGTAATAAAAGCTGTTACCGCGCTCCAATTATTTAGTGAATCTCCTGATTCTTACTTAGCCACCAGCACCAGTATTCATTAACAGGTTCACTCTGTGTGTGTGTGTGTGTGTGTGTGTATCCACGCACCAGGTAGTATTTGGGAACACGCACAATTTAGTCTGATAAGTGTTTACTTTTCTAAGTTTTGTCCCTGACTTATTCCCAGAACTTGTGTAACAAGCCTAAGTAATTTAAGTACTGTGAGAGAACGTGTAGCTTGGCCCTTCTAAAAGCCCTTCCTGTTGTTACTATTCTAGCACTTCATAATCCGTTAGCTATCAGGAAGGAGGAAAAAGGAGAAGTCACAATGACCATCAGGCCTGAAGCCTGGGTGACTAGCAGAATATTAATTGATCCATTGGACTGAATAGGGACAACCTAGCATGAATAGGGACAACCTGTTCGGATCAAAGTCTGAGTTTTGTTTTGCCTATGTGGCGTCTTTCCCCACTTGTCAGCTAAATCAGGTTTTTGGCCCTTCACTTTTCAGCTGCAAACATGATATATATTGACATTTTGGTTAGGAAAGCCCTTTGTCCATTATTTTGAATCCCTTTCAAATAATGGTTTCAAATAATATAGTGTGATACTCAGGTATCTTAAATTCTTCGTCGCTGCTGGATTTTCCGCTACACTGTTTAAACATGTTTATTATATCATTAAAAATTTAGAAAGAAACATCTAAAGTACTAGCTTTTTACATATTGCCCAGCTTTTCTTTACGGCTAAGATTTTTTAAAAGAATGATCTGTTCATCAATCATTGCCTCATCTTTACCTCCTATTCATCTCTTGACCTATTATAATCTAGCTTCCTTGTACCTCTTCACTAATTACTGCTATTTCCAAGGTTACCAAATGATCTGATTAAAACTCAACACATTTGTCAATCCTTAAATTACTTGAATTTTCTGTAGCATTTGACATGCCTATCAAGTCTTCCTGAAATCTACTACATCTCCCAGCATACCATATCCAATGGGCCTCCTTTCATGTCTCCCCTCTTTTGGGGTTCTTCACAAGCCATCTCCAGGATCTACTATCCTCTTTTCTCCCTCTTTTGCTCACCATCCCCTTCTATTCACTGTTCTGGCTGAGTTCATCCAGTGTTGTGTAATGAAAAAGCTTGGCCTTGAAATTAGAAAATCTTTAGTTCAAATCCTAACTGTAGGATTTTTATTAGCTTTTATTAGCTTTGTGACCCTTAAACTAGTTGTTTATCATTTCTGAGCCTACATCTTCATTTATCAGAGTAGCTACTTCATAAAGTTGCAAATATGTTCACAGTTGTTTGTCTCTGTGTTCCAAAGGCAGGTATTATCCCCCTTCCCCTTTCGTGAATTAACCTACTATCAACATCTTTAATCCTTACCTTCCTACTGAGCTTCACATCTTTATTTCTAGCTTCCTATCAGATGATCTCTATTGAGTTTTACATACAACACAACTATCAATGGAGATGTATTTATGCCAAGTTCCCTTCTATGTGTTAGAGATTAAATGATAGAGTCCCTGCCTTTGAGGAGCTTAAAGTCTGACCAATAACATTTTTACACAGTGTTTTAGGAATTTGAAAGTGCAAGTCTCAATTCAGCCTAAGAGTCAGGGAAGGCTTTCTGGAAATGTCACAAGTTGAGCTTAAGGAATGAATGAAGTGTTAGTGTCATCGTGAGTGAAAAAGAAATTCTTCAGAAGAAATAGCATAAATATTGAGGTGATGAAATAGTAGTTCTGAATTTTAGGAAATTTAAGGAGAAGTAGGTAATACTGACAGGTGAGGCTACAGTGAAAGGCGAAAGCTTGAATTTTATCCTGAATATACTTTAAAACAAAAGGAGTAGATGATACAACTAACTAGCTTAGGAAAAATTGTGAAGAGAAATTTCTTAGAAGAAACAGTGAATATATACCTGAAAAGATACTCAACTTTGTTACTTATAAAAATCAGAAAAATGCAAATTAAAATCATAGTATTTTTAGAATTTATTTACTTATATTTTTGCAGCACTATGGATCTAAGCCAGGGCTTCCCACATACTAGGCGGATCCTCTGCAACTGAGCTACATCCCCAACATTTTAAATTTTGAGCCAGGACCTCCCTAAATTGCCCAGGTTGGCCTTAAACTTAAATCCTTCCACCTCACCCTGCTGAATAACTGGAATTGTACGTATGCACCACCATGTCCACCTAAATAGTATTTTATATCCTGTAGTTTGGCAGAAATTAAATTCAGTAATAATCTAGTTATTAGTAATAATCTAATTGGTGTAATCCATACTAGACCACTCATTTCAGTAATTTCTCCATTGTCACAGTTTGCAGATATCTTAGAAATTTCAGATGTGTTTGTGTATTCCAATTTGTTAACTCCAGATCTTATATCAAAAATTGACTAATACTGTGGATACGATTTAACCATTGCAAAACAACAATAAAAAACAAGCAAAACCCTGACATTTAAGGATTTAATCACTCACATATTCCAACAACAAAAAAAAATCTGATATGTTATTGAGTCACACAGCTGGACCCCATCTGCTGTGAGGCTGATGTGTTTTACTGGTGAAGGAACCTAGCTAACCATGTGAGAACCATGTTTTAAGCTTGTTTGCAGTATTTTGTGGGAAATTATATATATACACACACACACACACACACACACACACACACACACGTATATTCACAAATTTAAAATTCACAGAGCTCTAAAGATGTCTCCTTCCCGATCCCTAGGACCCCTCTACCACAATTCATGACTCTGAAAGATTTATATGCCCCTTTTTATAATAGTCATACTTCAAAATTGTATAGGATGTTTTTTTCTGGCGACAAAATGTCCCTTGCATTGGTAATAATGATATAAAATAATATTTTTAAGGGAGGACATGTTAATGGTTCATAATCTAAACAACTGGAGTAAAATCCAATGGAAAGGTTTAGATATCTTACAATATATAAGTATACTATTAGATAGCTATCTAATTTATTTGGGGAATAGCTAAGTAAATTTAAATTTAAAAACAAAGCTTACATAGAAATCTGAAAGGTAGGCTTCAAAATCACATACTTAAATAACCTAAGAAAGCATTGTAAATTCTTTGATCTCTTTACATGAAAGAAGTCAAAGGATACAAAAGAAGCCAGATAAAGTTGCAGTACAAGGAAAAACTGTAAAATGTTTCTGTTTCTTGTTATCAAAATGGGTTGAAAGCATGTTTCTGCTCTTCATATCTATTTCATAATCCAGAAATGTTCACACTTGCTCTGCCTTTCTAATATCCTAAACTCTATTTTTGGCTCCGTTACACTGACATTTCTACATAGATCACAAATTACATGGTCTGTTTTTTCCTTTGATGCATGCAGAAAAGTCTAAAGAAAATCATAGATTAATTCAACTTATATTAAAACATTTAGAACACTGAAAAAATATTGCTTCATCTCCACCCTAGTGTGGGTCAAGAATGAACATATCAGGAAGGTAAAGAATCTCTGTTCTCTGTTTCACTTTGACAATTATGGTGCAATCACAGTGTTCCAACATAGCTAAAACCTTTCAAGAAAAGAAACTATTTTACAATCTTCTTCAAATATCCCCCTACTATACTTCTAGTGAGATTTTTTCCACTGAGGATGAGGGGGTGAAGGATGGGGAAAAGAATAAAAACTGAAATTGCTGTTTCATCATCTCTATTTCTTTCCTTATCACGTTAACTTTCCTTCTTTTATTTTTTGAGTCATTAATTTATAAGTAAAATATTTTATATACTGTGTATTTTATATAGTCACTAAAAGAATTGGGAATTGACCTAAATAACGAATAGACCAGAATGGGAATTGACCTAAATAACGAATAGACCAGAATGGGGAATTGTTTATGGGTCCTAATCAAAAGTTATTTTGAAGACTAGAGTGATCAAACTGGACTGAAATACGTAGGGAGCCTAATTTTCTTGTGTGAGTCATGAAGTATCTCTGCAACTTCTCAAAAAAAAATTAATATTATTTTGCACAACTGCTGAAATGACCACAGTGTAGAATAATAATTGAATTTAAGTAAAAACTCATTTGATTGTACATGGTACATTAATCTTAAAAACAGCTCTATACAGCCACACCTACTAGAATGTGAATGACAATTTAATCAGGTAGATAAATAACAAGATGACATATTTGGATTTTTGTATATTGACCTTTTATACATAGGTAATGCATTACATTTTATTCATTCATTCAACAATTATTGTGTATCGACCATGACTCAAACATATATAACATGGAATGAATACAAGTCCAAGCACAGATAGTTTCTGTGAAGGGATCCATACTTGAATATACATGTTTATATTACTAGGAAATCCAAAGGTTAAGTAAAAATATATATTTTTCAGAAGATGAATATGATTTAATGAAATGTTATCCTGCAACTATAGTACTTTTTAAAGAAATGACTTAAAATGTAGTAAAATATTTTTCTATAGTCAATATATGACTGAAAAGAACCTTAGAAATTTATCAAATCCAGCAGTTTATAATTTTAGGCAGTGTATCCATCAATGTGATGAATAATCCAGATTAGTTATCAAATTTTATTCTAAATTCTTCAAAAATGATAAATTTTATACTACTGAAGTCCATCTATTAAATTCTGACATTTTCTCACAAGAATCAAATTAAAAAACATAAAAGAAAATGGCAAAAAAATTATATTGCTTAAACTTCTCTATAAAAATTCTTCAAGGAATGAATACTATCTTCTCATTAAATTAGGATGATCTGGAATTTTCAGCACGGTGACCAATCATTTTGTAGATGTCTTCATATTTATAGTAGGTAGTACTCATGAACAGGCAACTGACTGGCTGTGGGTCCACCTAGAAGGATCTGTGATATAAATTTAATATTTTATCATGTAATATATTCAGAGCAGATTTAATCTACTACTGAAGCCATTAGTATTGATGGATGCCTACACTGAATCCAACCGGACATGAACACACTGGCAAGAAAATGAAAGACACAGACTACATTTTTATAAGTTATGTTATAAAATCTTGATAATCATTTTAACCATAACATTTTCATAAATATTAATTTTGACCATAAATTTTGACCATAATTTTGACTATAACCATAAATTTTTCCGAATTTATGGCATCAAAGAAAGAAGAAAAAGACGTTTCATAGCCTCCGTAACATTTCAGCATTTGTTTGCAATACCTTTTGCAGAAAATACTAAGTGAAAAGGGGAAACCTGACAGAGAAAGAGAGGTTCATATAACTGACATTTGCTTTGCATTATTTCCATTGTTTTGCATTAAGAAAGTTGCATCTCACCCCTTTTCTAAAATAGAATATAATACACTGATGGGAGAATTTTACTATTGAATACCTATTTCAGATTGACATTTTAATGGTAGCTATCTGATTTTGTAACAGATCTCATTTTATTGTTGACAATATAAACATATGAAAGATAATTTTGTTAATTTCATATGCTTCAGAGACTAATAAACTATTTGCTTAACAGATTTGTTTAAGGTAGCAAAAAAAATCTTTTCATTTAGTTCTCTGGCTTATTGAGTCACTCAGGCTTCAGTCCTAATCTGCAGGGTTTATGTATTTTTCCTTTTGATTATATTTTTATTAATAAGCAGGAAGATCTTTCATCTAATTCTACACACATTCTCTGATAAACTTAAATTATGTATGATTAAAAGCATCTTTAAAGTTTTAAAAAGATTAAAAATTGAAATGCTTGTTACTACCCTGTCTTTTTAACTATATTCTACTGTAGCACAGAATTCAGGATTAAGTAAAACTTAATTTAAAAAAAAACTTGGATGGCTTTATTAGCATGGCTACACTTACATAACAAAGTTGTGCTTACTAGTTCCTTGACAATTATTTTTCAAATAATAATGATGAATAATACTTTTAAATGCACACATCTGAGTAGGCACTGTAATCTAAAAGTCTATTTACTCCTGGCTGTTCCTCATCCTTAGCTTATTTGTAAATCCTGACACAGTAAAAGAAATCATAATTCATTTGGCTTAGGCAAAGGCAGACCTCAAAGATAGAATTTGTACAATGTAGGCATTCTTTAAGGCAGCTGAATTCTGAAAGGAGAATAAACAAAGTTTTAAGTCATATTTACCTATGGCCTCATAATATGTATTTGTAATTCCTCCTATTACAGCTAATAGTAGAATGAGAACAAGAGAAATAGGAATAAGTGGTTAGCAGTGTAATATTTCAATTTGTAAGTATAGTATTTTATGCAAACTTATAGGCAAATGACTTGCAGGTATTACAATGAGGCTGCGTTGATAAGATCCTAATGAAGACCACTCTTGGAAGACAATGATTTTTCAACCTGATCCTCAGATCAAAACAGCCAGGACTGTAACCACTACCTACTTTAAACAGATCAGTTTTACTTTTTAAAATCGATTAACATTTCTGTTTTGAACCTAATTATTTACCTGATCCATTTTTAGTGACTTGGATGAAATCGTCCTCATCCTCGTCACAGCTTTCATAGTTCAACTGTTGGAGGACTCTTTCTGAATGGCTTTCAGTTTGATTGACATCTTTCTGCTTATTATTGAAGCTTCGAAGGGCAACAATACGATGATGTATTGCTGCATAAAGATATCCTGTATCTTTAGCACCAGCCTGAGAGAGGAAAATTAAGTTGTTAAGAATATAAATCACCTGCTAACATTAATCACATTTTATAGATTTTTAATTTTTCACTATTAGTAAAGAAAGAATTGTAGGGCATAAATCTAGAATGTAAATAAGTTTTAACATTCCTATAAATTTAGATAAAAACCCAATTAATCTTGCACCAAATTGCATCCTAAAGTAACTTTGCATATACTTTAAATTGAGAAAATAAAATTTTGTAATTTAAGATGTTTCTATTTGAAGTTAAGCGCGGTACAACCATTCTTCTTTCAGTGTTTTACACGACATAAAATTATAGGGTTGGAGAAAAAAAGCTTCTATTTCCTTTCCATTACTTTTCTTAGACATTCTTCCAAGTCACATAACTTGGTAAAGAAATAAAACTCATTAGAACAATTTATGTTATTTACCAAAAACACATCAAAAGTTCTTGCTTTTCCATACTTTTCTATGCTATTTTTATGGTTGCTATTAATATAAAAATGATGGTACCAGTAAGAACCATTGGTGTAATAGTAACTATTATGTTCTGTTTTTATTCAATTTTTATAATACTGTGGGTTCATTATTTATTCTGTTTATGTTAGCAAAAGCAGGTAGCGCAGGCATTCAACACATACTCATTTCCTTTTACAAACAAGGAAATTACGGGTTAGAAAGTAAAATGAGTTTTCTCAGTCACAGCTATCCAGCTAATTGCTGAGTCTTGAATCCCGGGTTTTTGTCATCCAGATCAGTGGGGTTAATGGAATAAATTATGGTACATAACAATAGAATTCTTTCATTTACTAAAAGAATTTTTGAAGAATAAGCAACTGCTTAATGGCATGAAAAATACTCATTTGCATTAATAGGTGAAATTACATATGATTTATTTTGCAATCATTTTAGTTGTTTAATCTCAATAGCTTTATAAAGCTATGGAGCACATGAGTAAGTCAACTTAAGGAAGGCTAAGAAACTTTCCTGAAGGCCATATAATACATACAGAAATATGTGCACATATTTGGATTTTTTCCGAATTTAGAATATTTACATATACATAATTAGATATCTTAGGGATGGGATCCAAGTCAAAATATGTTATGAACATTTGTTTTGTGTATACCTTACACACATAGTCTGAAAGTAAATTTATACAGTAATTTTAATGTACCTGTGTTTAGTGTACCTGTGTTTTGGATTGGGACTTGTCACATGAGATTAGGTATAGAATTTTCGACTTATGACAACATATTGGGGCTTTTAGGCTCAATGTTTGGCACACTTTGCATTTCAAATATTTGAATTAGGAGGGTTCAATCTATATAGTATTCAACTAAAATATTAATAAGTACCATCTCTAAAGGTGGAATATCGAGCAATTTTTCTTTCATTCAAGTTGATTATCTCTAGTAAAGAGCCTCCACTTTAAAAAGTCAGCATGGTAGCGAGCCTGGAAGTCTAATCGTAGTTAACAGTCTCAGTCTCAGTTTCTGGCATACTGCCTTACCCACTTAAAACCGGGAGATCTGGCCTGGCCAAGTACCAACCATTCTCCCTCGAAATGGTAAATAAGGTTTAAGCATCATCTTATCCTAACATCTTAAAACATGTCACATGCACCTGACAGTACACCTACTTAGAGTTATTAAAACCTTTCAGGTTTTTAATCACTGGGCACACACCAACCTTTTTCTCCATTTTACTATGGAGCCAATTTACTTATATTGTCATTCTGTCTAAGTTATCTGGATACTCAGTCCTTTCTAATCTTCTGGGTCTCAGCCTATGGGAGAAACCCAGCTTCTGAAGGGGGAAGGAAGAGGGGCTTTGTTCTTGGCAGCCCTCTTGTGCCTGGATCTTGTATTTGAGGTCAAGTATTTATGCTGCCTGGATGAGCTAAATTGTGCTTCCATCCTGTTACCTTGGAGATTTACTCATGTTTAGAATTGGAATTTGCTGCTGGACTTGTAACTTGCTTCCCCTGTGTTTTTCCATTTTCTCACTGGCTTTTCTCCAGTGATCCCAAAGCTTTCTCCATCTCAGCTTGTAGTATAAGCCATCAGGCTTGGGATTCTGAGGACCTTCTCCTGGGAGACTTCCTGACAATATGATCACTTCGGTAATATAGCATAGTAAGACTGTTAACATATTTGAGGTAGTAATCAACAGAATGGATGGCATATATTTTTTATGTGTGTGCCGGGAATTGAACTCATCACCTCACACTTGCCAGGCAGGCCCCTAGCCGCTGAGCTATATCCCCAGCTGGATGGCATATATTAAACAAATATCTTGGACCAATTGATTAGGCTTTGGTATAATTTCTGAATTCCATATACAATTTAGATCTTATATTCAATGATAAACAGCATAGTAAATGACTAGTTTCCTTGCCAGCGGTTCAGATTATCATGACAAAATGAAAAAAAACAGAAGTTGTAGAGATCTATTTATATACTGTATTAGTAAGATAATCCTTCATCCTGAAATTTGTCACTTACCTGAATTAAAAATATTTTGATGCTATAGTCTTCTAAATCAGTAGCTGTTATTCGTAAATTTTTGTGGTTTGCTCTTTGAATCTTCATTTGAGCCCATAGTTTGCTGTTGAGGATCAGTCTTAGACTGCCTTGATTGCGCATAACTGTAGCAGAAAAGTGACTATATCAGATTATAGTTCTTGATTCCTCAAACTTCCAGGAAACTCACCACTTTTGAAAGCAAAGTAAATCTTGTAGTTTGCCAGACTATATTTTCACTACTAAACTGTAATTTGACTAGATTATAACTTGGTTTGCAAATTGTGTTTGGTCTTTATTATGTTGAGAACTTTTTTTTTAAGCTTAAATGCTAGAATTATATTTTTAACTATAATATTTTTAAATGGCTAAATTTTAGAACTCCTTTAAGACGTACTAGTCTGAAGGATATTTATCCAAGAATTGCTTAAAGTGGAAAATAACTGAAACAAAACCTTAACTGTCAAAATTGGAATTAAATTCTAGTGTAGCCACCCAAGAGAATATCATGAAACTTTTAAGAATACTGAAGAAAGACATTGATGTGGAAAGATAATCAGACTATGTAAAAGAAAATATCAGATTCCAAAGCAATGTAACATTGTGAATCACAATTTTTGCAATCTGTGTACATATGTGTATACAGAAAGCAATTATCAACAAGAAGATATCTTCTTAACAGAGATTATCTCAGGAAGACTGGCTTTAGATGTTTTTATTTTTTTCTTTTGATCCATACTTTCTGTTTTCTAGAGTGAATATATATTGCCTGCATAATATAAACTTGTTTTGGAGTTTTGTCTGTTTGTTTTGGTTTTGGCAGACCATGAAATTAAACCAGAGCAAAGAACAGCTACTACTACCTTGAGAATATTGCTTGCATTATTTGGAAACCTGCTGGTCAGTTCCAGAACTGAAAACACTTCTGATTCTTTTGTTGTTGTTGTTCCTATTCTTTTAATCTGAATTCTACTCCTTACCTGTTTCTTGAGCTTGCTGTCTGAAACCTAACAAATACCCATGTATGTAGGTCCAGCTCCTACATATAGTCTACCCTAAGCTTCTACATGTCAAAAATGCCTGCCAAACCATTCACAGTAGCCAACTTGCCTGTCCATGTTCAGCTTGAGATTCTGAGCAGGCCCAGTGTGTCCTTTTGGATGCCAAACCTCCTGGATCTTTCAGTTTCACCAATTCCAGCTTCTCATCATCACTTTGCCTACAGGGTTCAACAGCCCCCCACCTATTTCTTTAGATACTGAGCCCACACCATGTAGTGAATGCCAAAGATAAATTATGAGATGAGTATTTTCTTTTTGAAAAACTTCATTTTGCAAGAAGATTTGTAACATATTCCTTCTACTAATATTGAGTGTTTCTGGGCTTTGACACAGGTGCTTTACGTAGTATCTTGTTGATTTCTCACAATTGTTCAAGAACTTGCAAACTACAGTTATCCCCTTTTTAAGCTGATACAATTAGGGCAGAAAGAGATTAGGTCACTTTTCCAATGTCACTGGTTAGTGGTGGAACCGGAACTAGAACCCATGCAGTCTGACAGGAGAGTCACCCTGAAATGAGAGGCCTCTAGAGTACATTGAAAATAATATTGTTTTCCACAGTCTGACTTATTGGTGTGTTTTACCACATGTGTCCAGAAAGCGATATGTACCTACATTAGCAATTTTACCCTGAGAAATAACGGCTTGCTTTACAAAATGATTCCTTACTTAATCTTGACTGTAATGTCCCACAGTCACTGCTTGCTGTGTCATTCAGTCTCAAAGTTCCTCTGCCCCTTTCAATCCAGGATTGTGTTGCCTTGTTGAATATAAAAAGCTTGCAGTTGATCTAAATGACAATTTTTAAAAATGTCAAATGTACAGAATTTTTTTCAAAGTAAATTATTTCCTATGCTATAGCACTTTTATATCTGTTTGAACTTTTACCAGAATAACCTTGGTTAATGATTTATAAACCAGGTTTTGAAACGTATTTAACTTTTTAGAGTATGCAATTTTTGAGTAGTTCCATCCTCGAAAAATAAAGACACACAAAGTGAAAAATACCCCTACCCTTCTTCCTCATCTGTCAATTTCCACTCCTGTAACAGGTAACCACTGTTATGTTTTATTTATCCTTCCAAGGATATTTTTATATATATACATGCATATATATGTATATGTATGTTCTTTTCCTTAAATAGTAGAATACTACCCTTTTCACTTAATGTGTTTGTATACAGTGACTTTTACATTAATCAGAGTATTATTTGTGCTGCATAATTTTATTACTAAAAATAAGGGAATCTTGGAGATATTTGCATGCTTAAAATCTGCACATAGCACGAAAACTTGGAAACTATGATGTGATACCAGAGGGTCTCCTCTTATAATTTAATGATTAACAGTGGTTCTCAAATATTCTTGTGTACAAGAATCACCTAGACAGCCAATTAGAAGCCCTAGCATACCAGGGCTTCACACATAGCAATTAATTCAATAAGGCTGGAATTTACCTAATCCAAGGGTTATGCTTTGAGACTCGTTTATTTAGAGTAAAATTATCCTTAGATCATAGAGGATGTGAACAGGAATGGAAAGAGTTTGGAAGAAAAGCAGATGGAGAAAGGTAGGGAAAATGCATGACTTGTTGAAAAATTATAAGTTATGGTACTCTGATTGATTCTATTCAACACTCAAATATGATACCATACAGCACATATATGAAACTTGGTTTATACAAAATTCTAAGCATTTTAAAAGAAATAAAAATTTTATCTTAAGTGGAAAACAAGTCACGTTATGAACTTAAAAAATCTTCAGTGTAAGCAGCAGTTCATCAGTCATGTGATAATAGCACTGATTATCAAAGCAGTCATGGAAAGTAAAAGCCTGAAGTTATTTTAAGGCAGGATCTTTGGAATGGTTGTAAGCCCAACCACCCCCATTCCTGCAAATTGCATATACAAAGGTAAGAAGATAATAATGGTTTAAGCTTTGTAAGCCTCCAACATTTTTACTTAAGTAACTTAATCTTCCTAAAAACTCTGTTTCCCTCAGTGTTTTTAAAGTTGTCCCTGCTGATAGTAACTTTATTCTATACATGTAAGTGCTACCAGCAAGAGCAATACACACCATACAGACCTTTAACACATTGTGTTCAGCTTCCTCCCCTGTTATAACATCAATTTTCTCTAGCAAGCATTTTCCTGATGGTTGAGATGAGAAAGCAGCAGCTGATTCAACTAGAGATGTCCTTTTAATAGACTCTGTTCCTAAGAGAAATTGGGGGACACATAAAAGGCCTCATTTCTCTGCAGTAAAACTTCCTTGTTGCCACTGTAAATGTGTGTGTCTCCTTATCTTGTATTTAAAAAATCTAAATGCTTAAGTTTGAGTAAAATCTATTATTGCCTCCCCCATAGCATTAAATTAAAATGTTTGTAAAACTTATAATATCAAGTTGCTATATTTATATGTTTTAACCTTTACCAAAATTGTTTAAATAATAGATTATTTTGCTTTTATTTTTATAGATATGGATATTGACAAAGTACTTATATCAAATGTTTTATAAATAAAAAAATTCTTACTTGAACTTGGAGAGTTGATAGGAAATTTCAGAATGGATTTAAATGTTTTTTCCTTGGCGTCTGAATCATTTTCAAGTTGAGGCTCGGTTACTTTTTGAGTGCCCTGGGTAGGGAACAGATGTATTATTTAATTTTACCCCTGTATACTTGCAATAAGCCAAAAGATAGTTTTGTTGTTCTATTTCAACATAGCACACAAACCCAGCTGCTGTGGTTTTGTTCCCAGCTCCCTGTATGCTGATTAAGGAACTCTTCCCTATTGTTTGAGGCCCTTGGTTCTAATTGTCAAACAAAACAAAACACTATAATCTAGTTACCACCAGCCTACTTTGGATGGGCTATCATCCAGCAATAATGGAAAAAGTACTAGTGGCTCAGAAGAAGACAATGGCCATTCTGTGTTTCTACTAGCTAGAGCTGGTGCTTAGGAAATGCAACCCTCATGTTAGTTTCAATTTATTTCAGTATTTCCCAAAATTCACTCCTGCTGTCCACTTGATGGAGGAAAAAATTTATATGAAAATCCCACTAAATATGTCAGAGAACACCTGTGTAGAAAGAATCCTAACTTTTCCTTCAAGACAAGTTTTGCAACAGTTGCTTTTAAGGCTGCATACTTAGAAATGTATACATCTAATATGATCAAAGCCTGATTAAAAAAAAACAACTAACTGCCATGTCATTTGTGAACATTGATAGGCCCCTACAGAACAGGGAAAAATGGCACAATGGTACTTATATATTTTTAATTGTGTCTTTTCCTTTATGAATTCAAGAGTCTTTTACATTATTTAATCAGACATCAAGATATCCATTTAAAATTGGCAGAGATCAGTATAATTATTTTCATTTTAAGAAAATAGATTTTTAAAAAAAGAGAAAAAAATAGAAACCTAGGCTCTGAAATTCAATCTAAAAGCACATGGTCAACCAGTAACCAAAAGTGCATCTTGGCACCCATATTTCAAGGCCACTGATTTACAAACTTATAGAGGAAAAATACAAATTATCTCCATAGTTCATGTTATCCCTTCCTATATTGCTAACTGAAAGAGATATGAAATTTAGTCCCTTTTTAAAATCAAATTTTATATCCCCATTAGAAATATGCTCAAGTGTCTTCAAGCCAAACCTCTGTAATCCTGACTGAAGGTCATGTCTCTTCTTACTGTATTGTATCCTGCTAGGATACAGTGTCTCCTTTACCTTTATGTGACCACTTACCCAGATGGCTTTCAAACTTGACTATCCATTAGAATCACTTGCTAACTGACCTTACCTACAGAGATTCTGACATAAGTGCTTCAGGGTGAAGCCAAGGCATAAGAAAATCTTTGAAGGCACATTAGATGATTCTAACGTGCAGCCAAACAAGAGACCAGTGCCTTACGTATCATAGGAACTCAATACACATTTGGTGAATCGAGTTAAGTGTTCCAGTTGACCCTGTGAGGATTGGAAAGCATCTTAGTTATGTCTAATCATTTTACAGAAGCTGTGGCTAGTGTCAAACTTAAATGACACAATAAATGTGTCTAAATATATTGCATGGAATGTCAACCTAGTGCTTCCTATATTCTGGTTTAGGTCCAAAGATGAGAGTCAACAGCTCTAGGATCAGTGGAGCTTTTCTTAAGAATGGCAGAAAGGTGTCTTTAAAGCTAAAAAGCCACAATACTTCTTATTAGAACTGAGAGGTAGCATGAGGCAGGTCTAAAATAAGCAAGGTCTTAAAAATGACTGATTTATGAAAACACTAATAATCTTGGAATAAACTGACATTTTAAGCTGGCCCTTCTATTAACTTGAGCCCTTACATATGTTTAAAAAAAAATCTCTGCAGCTTTCTTAGGAGTCCTCATGTAACTAGTAACTTTAATACAAGCAGCCACCTTGCACATAATTTAACCATGATCCTGGTCTGGGTAAACGCTGAAAGAAGCTTGAAGCTGTGAGGGACCAGATGAAATCAAAGTCACAGCTACTCCATGGCTTTGACTTTGCCACACAGCTCCCCACTTCTTAGATTATGCTGTCTAATAAATCAGAGCTCTACAGAAGGCTGAGCAGCAGCTGCCTCATGCAGAGAAATGCTTCGTATTAAATAAGGATGACAGTAATAGTAGTTAGGGATTTTTACTTGGTAAGTATATTTCCCTATGCAAACAAAGCACAGTAATTTTCCTCTTAAAGCTACCAAAAGAAGTTATAATAATACTTTTGGATGTAAAAGGTTGCAGGGTAGAGTTGTAATTACTTAGAATATATTGGTAGATGATTTTGAATGCATCTTGTTATAAATGTTATTTAAAACTATATTAAAATGTCACTACAAGTTGAGCATATTTAATTACTATAATGCTGGGATTTCCTCAGGTACTTCTGCTTTAACATGACTTAAAGAACTATTTAATATTTCACATCAGTAATAATGTTATAATTATGCAATTATTTTTCTCTCTGGATTTTTCTTATTCTAACTAGAACATGCTTCCCAAGAGAACCTTTCCAGTTAAAGAAAGAGAGTGTGCCTTTGAGTATGCTACAGTTTAACACTGCTTTTAATTAATTTGCCTTCAGAAATTTGAAGTGACAGCCCTACCATAATGGAAATATTTACTGAAATCTTACCAAAACTCTTTCTACCATGTTTTCTCCAAAAATAAAGTCAGAGCTGCAGCTTTTACTAGAACACTTATCTTCATTTGGTTGACATCTGAGAAAAAATAAGAAATTTGCTGTTTTAGATATAAGGATAAATCATTTTAAGCCTTAGCAATCAAAAATAATCAAATGATTTAATAGATTTATATAAAATATAAACATCTGCTGGTTTTTTTTTTTTTTTTGTCTGAAGTTAAAGAGAAATGAAGGAAAAAATGAGGTAGGTACTTCCAGAGGTAATAATCATATTTGTCAACTTTTATAGCACTGGGCTTGACTTTACCAACCATTTTGGGCCCCTCTCTATGCCGACTGTGTGACTGGTTGGGGGAGCTGCACTGTTCTTGCCTTTCTGCTTTTCTAGCACAATCTGGCCAGTTGATTGCCATTCTTCTTCCCCAAAGCGGTTGATGGTGGTTTTAGCAATCAGAGATCATCAAGCTCAGCTGATATATCCTGTCAATTATACCTGAGTGTCCACTAATTTAATTTTTTTCCTCCTAGAAACTTTTTTTTAAAAAATGATGTCTTTTTATGATAAGAACCTCAAAAACACCCAACTCTCACTTTGTAGTGCTTAGGGTTCTCCACTGCATCTCCAATATGCACAGTAGGCCAGTGCTGCAGATGGAACCAGCTTATGTAACTCAGTGTATGTCCACAGCAAGTTTTAATGTTCTTTAACCGGGCGTGGTGATGCATGCCTGTAATCCCAGCACCCTGGAGGCTGAGACAGGAGGATCGTTGCAAGTTTGACACCAGCCTGGGCTACAAAGTGAGCTCAAGCCTAGTTTGAACTGCATAGTGAGACCCTGTCTCAAAAAAAACAAAAAAAAAAAAAAAAAGTTTTAATGTTCCCTCTGATCAAACATTCCTACTTTATCACCAGAAATACTAAAAAATATTAACTTTTTTTTCTTGCCATACTGGAAACTGAGCCCAGGGCCTTTGCACTAACCCTTTTTAGTTTTTATTTTGAGACAAGGTCTGGCTAAGTTGCCTAGGCAGGACTTGAATGTTTGATCCTCTTGCTCAACCTCCCAAGTGTGAGAATTACAGGCATGCATCACTATGTCCACATTAACACTATTAACATTTTACTTTTTAGATTTATATCATTTTCCTGTGTGGTTATATAGCTTATGTTAATAAATAACAGATAAAAAATAATATAAAAGAGGGAAAAAGGGATGTCAGAGAAAGAGGAGGAAAAAATAATCTAATAACTAGATCATTCATGCCTGACTAAAGCTTCATGATACCCTTTGAAATATCCTAACCCAAGTGAATGAGACGGGGCTGGGGATTTAGCTCAGCAACACCGCGCCTGCCTGGCAAGCGCAAGATCATGAGTTTGATTCCCGGTACTGGAAAAAAACCAAGTCAATGAGACAATGAAGACAACCCAATACTAATATGATATTTGAAACATTAGAGATATTTTGAAAAGCATTTTAAACTTTTATGGTTATAAGACATTCTTTGAAGCCTGGCATGATGATACATGCCTATCATCCCAGCATTCAGTGGTCTGAAGGAGGGGAAGTGTGGAAGCCAATCGGGGCTACATCAACAGCTCAACAGCCCATGAACAGCCTGAGTAACATAGCAAGATACTGTCTCTACCTCTTCTGGGTGTCTACCCAAAAACGTTAAGGACATGTATATCCATGGTTATAGCAGCACAACTCCTAATACTAAATCTTGGAAATGGCTTATATGCCCATCAACAGATGAACAGATAAAAAATGTGGTAAATACACACACTGCAGTACTACTCAGCCATAAATAAGGATAAACCTAAGTCATTTGTGGGAAAATGGATGCATCTGTGACCACAATGCTAAGTAAAATATATAAAGTACAGAAGGTTAACATTGAATGCTTTTTTCTTATATGAGAAACCCAAAACATAGATGGTTTAAAGAGCAAAATAAAAGATGATAGAAAATAGGGAAGTAGACTCTGTAGGGTTGGGAAGGGGACCTGGACATGGGAGGAGATGGAAGAGCTGGGAGGGAAGGGGAAGTAAAAATGATTAAGGTGTGATATGCATACATAACAATTCCCCAAGATGAATGTAGTTGTCATGTATTGCAAATACATACTAATAAAAAAGAAAGTCCTTTTAAATGGAGTTCTTCCCAGCCCCATACAGTGTCAGAAAATTATGTTCCAAGATTGTTTATAATAATAAAGTATAGAAAAACATTTCTGTTTTTTCATTGAGGTTGAGCATCCTTAATTCAAAAATCTGAAATCAAAAATCTGAAATTTTTTGAGCATTGACATAGCATCATAAGTGGAAAATTCCTAGCCTCATGTGATGGGTCAACATCAATATGAACAAAGTTATTAAAAATATTATGTAAAATTGCCTTTGGGCTACATGTCTAAGGTATATATGAAATATAAATGAATATTTAAAGATTTATTTCATTATGTAATTCAAATATTTAAAAAATTTTTTAAAATCCAAAATCTGAAAAATTCTATTCCCAAATATTTTGCTTAAGGGACATGGACTCTATACTAACTTACCCTACTAATGTTGCACCTAAACAGTGTTGAACTGAAATTCTGGAAGTTGGTGAAGTTTCACTTAATAAATTTGAGTCCCCCTCAGAAATCTGAAAGAAAAAGAAATACACCAAAAAGTTCATTAGAATTGCCTTACTATAGGAACATCAGACAAGGAAACAATAGTTACGTGGAAAGCTTACTATATTTACATATTGCCCTGAGCTTTTATGTAAATTATCTCCTTACAATGCCAAGTTACTCCTTACAACACCATACACTTTGTATTTCTATCATCCACATTTTATAGATGAATGAACTGACATTAAAAGCTTAAATAACTTGGTTAAATCACACACAAACAGAATGCAGCTGAATTCAAACACTGATCTGTCTTACACTGGACTGTAGACTTTGCTACAATATTCAGAAATCTTGTTGCCTCTGTTACTTGTACCTTTTTAGCCAAATGAAGTTAATTCTTATTTCTAATTTAGTTAGGCTATTTAATCCCTGAAAATACCCTAATAGCTTTACCATGACAGCCCTCTAATTTGAGAGGAAACTCATCTCTTTGTAGTGAGATGTTCTAGGTCTCTTAATAAATGAGTTATTCTATCTTATGAACATGTACTTGGCACATTACCTGTACTAATGCATAAATGTAGAAGTAAGGAATTCTAAATTCTCTTTCTATAGAGGGAGACCTATATTTGGTCCAGCATTTACACTATATTGTGGACAACTCTCTGCCCCACTCTCAGGGCTTTGCAAAGGTGTTCTAGAGGTTCATGTTTTCTAAAGAAAAGTACTATCTGTTTCCACTTAAATTTTCCAATCAATCAATAAAAATACATTTTTGTATTTTCTCTTTTATAACAGGAATATGAAAATTGACAAATATGTAGCTGGAGAGCATATGTGTGGTTAGCAAAGATCAAAGTATGTATTCATGACCCACTCACTCAATTTATCCCTCAGCCAAAATGGTAGTATTTACTCTTTCATTGTTTAAAATAGTTCTTCAGGTATATATTATTTAATGTATCCATAATGAGAGATCACTGATTAATAATAAGATAAATAATAACTTCTGATTTCATTTATATTAATAAAGAACACAAAAATAATTCTATAAAATTTAGCTAGGGATAAGTTTCACTAGTGGAAAATTTCATGGGGTAAAAATTCTTGCATAGGATTTTATACATAGTGTCTATAGATCCTCAAAAAATTTTCATAATGCTGAAAATTCAATAATGGGCATATCCAATCAGACTTTTCAATATTTAGAAATAATTTCTACTCATCATATCACAGCAATATATGCGCACCTATGTTTATAGCAGCATAATTTGTAATAATAGCTAAATCGTGGAAGCAACCCAAATGCCCACTAACTGAGGAATGGATTAAAAAGTTGTAGTATTTTCATATAATAGGATATTACTCAGCTATAAAGAAAGATAAACTCGAGGTTTTTAGAGGTAAATGGTCACAACTACAGACCATATTCATAAGTGAAATAAATCAGACCCGCATGTGTAAACACCATATTGTCTCACTAGTGTAAGAACCTGAAAGGGTGAATAAAATCTAGGAAATACAATAGATATTATGAAATGAAAGGAAACTGCTCAAAAAGAAAGAACAACTGAATGAGGGAAAAGAGAAAAGAAAGAAGGGGAAAATATGTATATATGTATACACAGGATAGCTAACATAGTTGTACTACTGATTTTTATTGCTTTATTGAAAGCAACAGTTAATGTTTAATTGTTTGATCAATCTTATATGTCTATATTTGTTTATCTGAGTAACCAATTTGATGATATAAATATGTAATACAACAACCATTGTTAATTTCCTATCACCTTGTCTGAAATTCTGTATTGCTTCTATTGTTTTTGTGTTATTTTGTAAATGTATGTGCGTTTGTTAATATGTTTTTGTTCTTTTATATTTAAAATAAAAAAGGACTTATAAATGGAAACGCTTGTAAACAAATGTCATTTATGCAAGAAACATATTAATAAATTTTGTTTTTAAAATATGTAATTAAAGATTTATACAAATCATTCCAGGAAAGAAATATTGACCTAATTTTCCATTCCAAATCAAATACAGTATAACATTTTTTATGTTGATCAACTTATCATACTTTTTCTCACATAATTTAAAATAAATTAACCTACTTTTCCCTAAATAGATACAAATAATAACTTGTATAACGTGGTGATAATTTTTAAATTATAGTTTAATGCAAACTTTTACTACTACATTGATCAAAATTAAAAATATATTCTACTTAAAAACTACTTATCATATAATATGCATAATTGATTAAATGATTTTTAAAAAGTGTAATTAGTCTCATTAAATTATGTCTTACAAAGAGAAGGGTTTGGAAATATAAAAATGTTGGTAAATGCTGACCAACTCAACTCCTTCATTTTACTGGTAAAAAGAGTATGTTAGGTGCTTTGGGTAAATATAGGCAGTTACAGAGGCAGAATTAAGTTTCATTCTGATTTTTTAACAATTGAATCAAAGGGGCTATGTTTTTCATTTGAGTTGTTGTCTCTATGTCCAGAATAGGAAAAACAAACAAAATGAAAGCAAACGATCAACCTTCAGTAGTTCGGCTGGAAAGAAACGGCTGACAGAATAACAACTCAGATTCTGACTAGAGTACCTGTCTTGTGCCGCATTCCTCCTGTCTGTTTCTGCTGGAAGGCAGAGCTAGAGCTATAACAAACAATGATCCCAGAACCTGTATCTGCATTACCTGAACAAAATGAGTATCTACTTCGCACTTGCCAGGCAGGCTCTGTACCACTGAGCTATATCCCCAGCAGTTGAAGGAATTCTTATGTCTCTGGAGGCTGCCCAGGTCCTCCCAATTACACTGCATAGGGCGTCCCCTGCTCCTGTGTTCAGGAAGACGGGTCTGGAGCGGAGCTCTGGTGTGACTTAAACTGCCAAAGCCAAAGCCATGGTACAATGTTGAACAGCTGGGATACAGAACATTCTCCCTTTCTTTTTTGATTACTGATTGTGGCCCTTTCATTATTTCTTCTCTAATTCATTCATGGGGACAATGCTCTGAAATCCGTTCCAGAGATTTTCACTGCCCAGTACTCTCAGCTTTACCACCTAGAGTGACCACAAGATTTGTCCAAGGGAGCAATTCTTTTGTTTTGTTTTTCTGTTACTGGGGATTGAACCTAGAGCCCTAGCACTGAGCTACATCCCCAGTCCTTTAATTGAGAGACAATCTCCTTAAATCATTACTTTGCTCAGCCTGCACTGAAACTTGTATCCTCCTGCTTCAACTTCCCAGAGTGCAACAACTGTAATTTAAAAAGAGAAATTTAATAAGATTAGCAAGAGCTTTTTGCTATCTAGCCTGGGTGTTTTTTAAGTCTGGCAGTTTCTTAAATCTCGGGTAGCCCCTAATATTGGAAGTGGGGGTCCCAAACAATCTTCTAAGGAAAAAGATGAGGAAGTGGGGCTAGTCGTACCATAGGGGTTTTTCTCACCTTATGTTTTGTTTTTTCTTTGATCCTGCAGGATTCTGATTCATTGTGCCAAAATGTTTTTCTTACATTTTCACAGCTTTGAGCTTGAGGTGGCTGCAAAATAGCAGGTCTTAGGACATGTTCAGAGTGTTTCACAGGACCTTAAAAGAATAGAATTAAAGAGTCAATATATTTTTAATGAAATACTCTTTTCTCCCTACTTTTAACTAATCTCATGCTATTTTCTAGCATCATGATTAAGTGAAGGACTAATGTTAACTAATCAAATCACCAAGCACTTCTTCCCTGTCTTTCTTTTTCTTTATTTTAAAGAAAATAGTACAAAAAATAACAATAGCAAAATACAAACAAAACAACACAAGGACATTAAAAATGATATGGGATTTCAAAACAAATGGGATTAACCGTGGTTGTTATATTACATATTACTATCTTCAACGAAATTGCTCAGATTACCAGATGTAAGAATAGAAGATTGATCAAATCATTAAAGGGAATAAGAAAATAATAGTTTAAAAGAACATTAGAGACAATACATAGTTTCACTAGACAGGATGGTAGGAATTCACCAATGGTTGTTATATTGCAAATTGTTGTCATCACATGAATTGCTCAGATTACCAGATATAAGCATGAAAAATCAGTCAAAATATATAAAAAAAACTTTTAATCTTTAACTGTTCCCCTCAACAAACCATCAGTCACCAGCAGTACAGTTATGCCACTGAGATATATGGATATATATATATATATAAATATATATAAAGCCTTAGTACTTTCTTTTTCTGCTTTCTCTCATCTCAGTTGTTCCTTCCTTTGAGCAATTTCTTTCCCTTTCTTATTACCTATTGTATATTTTGGGTTTTATTTACTCCTTCATGTTCTTACACCAGGGAGACAATGTGTTGTTTACACATGTGGGTCCGATTTATTTCACTTCTGTGTATGGTCTCTCGTTGCATCCATTTACCTATAAAAGCCTTGAGTTTATCTTTTTTATAGCTGAGTAATACTCCACTGTACAGAAATACCATAACTTTTTTATCCATTCCTCAGTTGATGGGCATTTGGGTTGTTTCCAAGATTTAGATATGAAAAATTACGTGGCTATAAACATGGGTGCACATATATCACTGTGGTATGACATTTTTAATGCTTCTGGAAAATTACCCAGAAAGGGAATAGCTGGGTTAAGTGGGACTTCCAATCCTAGTTTTGTGAGGAATCTTGAAACTGATTTCCACAGCGGTTTCACCAAAGGACACTCCCACCAACAGTGGAGAAGTGTTCCTTTTTCCCCACAGCCTCTCCAACATTTGTCATTGGTTGATTTCTTAATAACCATTCTTTGTGGGGTGAGATGAAATCTCAGTGTTGTTTTAATTTGCATTTCTCAAATGACTAACAGTGTTGAACATTTTTTCATATATTTATTCACCATTAGTATTTCTTCATCTGAGAAGTGTGTGTTCATCTCAGATGCCCATTTTTGGATTGGGTCTTTGAATTTTGGGGGCCTGTTATTTTTTAATTCTTTATGTGTTGTAGATAAGAGTCCTTTGTCTGAGGGGAAGTTGGATAAAATTTTTTCCCAATTTGTGGGTTTTCTTTTTGCTCTATTGATGATTTCTTTTGATGTGCAGAAACTTTTCAGTAAGATGAGATCCCAGTTGTTGATTCTTCGAAGTATTTCCCATGCAGTTTGGTTTTTGTTCATGAATTCTCTGCCTATCCCTATGTCTTTGAGAGTTTTACCTAATTTCTCTTCCAGTAGATTCATGTTTCTGTTTTTATATTCAGACCTTTGATCCATTTTGACTTTAGATTAGTGCATGGTGATAGACATAGGTCTAGTTTTAGTCTTTGGCATGTGGAAAGCCAGTTTTTCCAGCACCATTTGTTAAAGAGGCTATGTTCAGTGAACATGCTTGGCCCCTTTGTCAAAAATAAGGTGGCTGAGTGTGCTTGTAGCTTTGTCTGCATCTTCTAATCTGTTCCACTGATCTTCAGGTCTGTGTTTTTTTGCCAGTACCATGCTAATTTTATCACAGTAGCTTTGTGTATAATTTCAAGTCAGGGATTGTAATGCCTCTTGACTTTCCTTTGTTTCCCAGGATTGCTTTTGCTATTCTAGGCCTATTCTGGTTCCAGATAAATTTTAGGAATGTCTTCTGTAGATATGTGAGGTATACTAATGGAATTTTAATGGGGATTGCATTGAATCTGTACAACAATTTTGGTAGGATGGCCATTTTCACAATGTTTGTTCTTCCTATCCATGAGCAAGGAATATCTTTACATATTCTGAAATCTTCTTTGATCTCTTTTTTATGGTACTATAATTTTCACTCATAGATCCTTTACTTCTTTTGTTAGATTGAGTCCTAAGTATTTCATTTTTTTAGATGCTATTATGAAAGGTGTGGTTTCTCTGATTTCTCTCTCAGTCTGCAAGGAGTACTAAAAGATATTCTAAAAAGAGATAAAAAGACCACAACTTTAAGAACAATGACAGAAAGTAAATATCAAGCAGAGCAAGCAATTAAACAGAGGGAAACAAGAGGAACCAACAGCAGGAAAACAACTTGACAAAGATAAGGCAATACATATCAGTTATAACCATCAATATAAAAGGACTCAATTCATCATTGAAAAGAAGTAGACTGTCAGATTGGATCAAGAAACAAAATCCAAAAATATGCTGTATACAAGAAACACATTTAACTCAAAAGGAAATTCATAGACTGAAAATCAAAGGTTGGAAAACAATACTCCATGTGACAGGTACCTAGAAAAAAGCAGGGGTAGCTATTCTGTTTGCAGACAATGGGAACTTCAAACCAAGAACAATTAAAAGAGATAAAGAAGGTCACTACATACTTGTGAGGGGAGAATTTCAAGAGGAAGAGGTAACAATCATAAACATCTATGCACCAAACACAGGAGCACCCAAGTATATAAGACAAATTTTATCAGACCTGAAAAATGAAATAAGCAGCAACACAATCATAACAGGGGACTTCAATACCCCACTGTCATGAAAGATAGATCAACTAGACAAAAAATTAACAAAGAAATAACAGAACTAAACCAAACATGTGAGCAAATGGACTTAGTAGACCTGTACAGAGTGTTCCACTCAACAGCATCAGAATACACATTCTTCTCAGCTGCACACACAACATTCTCTAAAACAAACCATATATTAGCACATAGAACATGCGTAAGGAAATGCAGAGTTGAAATTATCTCATGCACACTATCAGACCATAGTGCAATGAAATTGGAAGTTAATAACAAAGGAAATTGCAAGAACTCCATAAACACATGGAAATTAAACACCGCCCTCCTGAACAATCAATGGGTCACAGATGAAATCAAAGAAATTAAGCATTATATGCAGTCAAACAAAAATGTAGATACAACTTCCAGGAACCTGTGGGATGCAATGAAAGCAGTACTCAGAAGGAAATTTATAGCAGTGAATTTCTACCTCAGGAAAACAGAACGAGCACAAATAAATAATCTTATGCTGCATCTTAAGCTTCTAGAAAAAGAAGAACAAATCAAACCAAAAGTTCAGAGAAGGCACGAAATTATAAAGCTCAGGGCAGAAATTAATGCAATAGAGACTAGAAAAAATACAAAGAATTAATGAATCAAAGAGTTGGTTCTTTGAAAAAAATAAATAAAATTGATAAGCCCCTAGCCAACCTTATTAAAAAAAGGAAAGAAAAAACTGAAATACATGCAATAATGAATGAAAGAGATGAAATCACTACAGATCCTGTAGAAATTCAGAAGATCATCAGTACCTACTTTGAAAATCTTTACTCTCACAGGATGGAAAACACAGAGGAAATGGACAGGTTTCCAGGTACATATGAACTACCAAAGCTGAATGAAGAAGATATAAAAATTCTGAATAACCCTATGTCAGCAAGTGAAATTGAAAATGTAATAAAAAATCTTGCCAATGAAGAAAAGCCCAGGTCCTGATGGATTTACAGCTGAATTCTACAAGAAATTTAGAGAAGATTTAATGTCAATACTTCTCAAATTCTTTAAGGAAATTAAAAAGGAAGGAATTCTCTCCCAACTCATTCCTGGAGGCAAGTATTATCCTGATACCAAAACCAGAGAAAGACCCAACCAAAAAAGAGAACTACAGGCCAATCTCCCTAATGAACATAGATGCAAAAATTTTCAATAAATATTGGCAAACAGAATGCAACAAATCATCAAGAAGATTATATATCATGACCAAGTGGGATTCATCCCAGGAATGCAGGGTTGGTTCAATATATGCAAATCAATTAATGTAATACACCATATCAATAGAGCCAAAGACAAAAATCACATGATCATCTCAAATGATGCAGAAAAGCCTTTTTGATAAAGTCCAGCACTTATTCACGATAAAAACCTTACAGAAAATTGGCAAAGGTGGACTTTACCTCAATCTGATAAAAGCCATCTATGACAAACCAACAGCTAATGTCATTCTAAATGGT